GCCCATTTCCATTTCTCTCATTATAAGCAGTGATATTCCATTTCAGCTACTGAGTTCTTCATTTAACATCACAGCAATGTACAGCAAAATTCTGTAGTACCTGCAGCCGCCACCTTATACAGAAGTTAGGCAATTATGTTCAATAAAAAAGTTGCAATAAATTAACTTTTTAGTTTTACCCACAATATGTTGTTTGTTTTTTCAAAGCTCACTTGGAAATTCATTTTAGACACATGTTAATGAAAGACAAATCTGATAAGATGGGGAGAAGAAAAAAAAAGAAATTAAAAACAAGGTAGGTGGTGTTTGAAGCAAAACAAAACGTTTGGTAAGTTAATAACACTAGAACCTCACTTCATACCCTTTCTGGTGCACAAAAGGTAATACTATAGAGAACATCAAGCCATCACAGCTAGCAATGTGAGTTTTGAAGAGCATTTTGGGTAAAGACAATCAAGAGTACTGACAAAGATGTCCATCTTTCAAAGTGGTTATTTGCTAATCGCTGAGAGAATGAGATATGACAGTTAATACACATGCAGTAAGGTGACTTTTATTAATCCTTATAAATACACCTCAGCCTCCTAGGCTTTGTACCCACATGGATGTGTTAGACTTTTCACTTCCAGGACTTCCTTACTACTCCCGAAGCAGGGCAAGTGAGAACAAAGTACACTTTTCACCTGCAGTAGAACACTAATGTAAATGTACTCTTAAAGAAAGTTATGAGACATAGAAAGAAGACCGACGTCATTTAAATACTGTCTTCACTAGAAGAACTAACATAAGCAGCTGTATGTCCTTCCATTTCACTTCTTGTTTCTTCAAGAAAGATTTTGCTTGCTTAAGTCACTGTCTGTTACTAAAAATAGAATTTGAATTCAACAAGAATAAGGTAATTAGGCCAGCAGCCATGCCATATCCAGTTTTTCTAGGGTAACCTTGTCAAGTCTGAGCATTCAATTTCTACACCCAGAATACTCTTACTTCTAAACATAAGGCATTATTCTTTGCTATAACTGATAGAGATAAATCCACTTACACAAGGAAATAATTTTAAAAGGAATTTATGAAAAAATAATCACATGAAGTCACTGAGTCAACACAGAAGAATTAGCAAAATTTTCCATGAACAGAACATTGGGATAACACCAAAAAAGACCAAACTTTCTGGTTAATCCAACAGCAATGAGTATATACTCAAAATTATGAATATTCTAGCTCTTGGAGGGTCCACAACAATACCTGCCTATTGATGTCACAGTCTTCTTAACAGGTTAATCATGTCATCTTTCCTGCGAGGGCAAAAATTACCATGCTATCACATTAAGTGATCTTCTAAAAAGCGTTACTCAAACTATCCTTTCATCAGCCTGAGAAATTTCACTGGATGTCAGGCCCTGAAACACCTCTTAACCCCATGCAAATATATACTATTTGCAAAGCATAATAGTACTGTGATTATTCTGGAACTGAATTCAGGAAGATGTTCAGTAAAACTTGGAATATAGGCCTTTTCTGATCATGGAAGTCCTGGAAGAAGGCCATCAAGACTGCCACTGTGTTGAAATTCAGCGTAGCTAGAAAGGCTCCACTATATGTTTACATATAAACAATTTCCAAGGAAATATGTTACACTCAAAGTGATCCAAGTCAAAAACAGGTATATGAAATTATTTGTCAGCCATCCAAATCTAGGGAGGACAATCCCTGATTTTTAGTTAAGGTAAAATGCTTTTCTGTACTTTCTAAAGAATTATCCCACTCCCCCAGTTTTCACTTGCATTAAAAGTAGATTCCAATTTCAACAGTCTTACCTGCCTCCAGACTGCAAATAGTAATGACCAAAGAAGTACAGAGAAATTTGCCGTTTCACAAGATTAATATACTCAATTTTATTCAGCTTTGTCCATCCTTTTGATGAAGGATTTTCCCCGTTAATTAAGAAGGCCTTGCATAAGAAATAGATTCAATAATAGAAATAAGAAAGCCAGATTACACTTCAGCTGTTTTTCTATGTCGTCAAAAGGTGCCTTATAAACAGCAATATTATCACTTACCTGTTTTAAGTCAAGCTTTTATCAGTTCTTAAAGCTCTTACACAGATGAGACTGAATTCTATTCTAGTTCTCTCTGTGGCCACTCATTTTCAACAAAGAGAGAAGATAGGATTGAAAACAGCCTTCAAAGATTATTTTTGAGAATTTAACACAGAGCTAATCGGAAAGTAAATGTAGGTGAAGCAGACCACTGTACAGAGATGATTCTGTCGGGTATTTTTATTCCTGCTAGATTTCCTCACTTAAGTCCAGAACCTTCTCTGTCAACATGGTTGTACACACAAGATCAGTTAGCAACATGCATGCAACTCCTGGCATGTGCTCAAAACTGCCTCATTTCTGAATTGTTCAAAGAGGGTTACAGAGTGTTGTTATAACACAGTTAAATTTAAATTATACAAAGGTTTATTGATGTTGTATCTTTAGAGGACCTACCACTATTACTGAAGTCAGCACACAAATCCAATTCAAAGCATGAAGCCTGCCTTATATGCATTTTCCTCATTTCCTTGGTAAATTGCAAGCAGCTAAACTCACACACATACTTTTTCCATAAAAGAGTATTTGGCATGGTAGGTAATATTGGGCAATGTTTAAATAAGAAGGGACTTAATTTGTGGACATATAAGCAAGAAAAAGGTGCAAATTTGTATCTTCCAGGGTGGTAAAAGTTCAAGCTTTCTTCCTGTATGTCTGCTTGGACTTTTTTTTTAAGATAAAATTAAAAAAATCCTCTGGTACATTCAAGATACTGGGACAATCTATGTTCTGTTTTTAGAATTTGCCAAAACATGAAAGAATAATTAAAAAATGGATGAAGAAAGGTTACAAGTATGTTGAATCATTGAGCCACTGTGCTCCATCTATGACTGTCAGAAAATTCAGAACAGTCTGTAACTGAAAACATCAGCTCAGGTATAAATTCACTGAACTAGTATGACCTCAAGCACAAAGTTCTAATTATTTTATGCTTGGCAGGTTCTTTGAACAACAGAAAATATAAAAGAAGTTGTAGATGCTACTAGGACTTTTTCCATCCTCCCACATCTGGGGATTTCTGGCAGAAGCAAAATGCCCTCTTATTCCTGTTATGTTCAAATTGGTTTGTATTTACAGTAGTTCAGCATGAAAAGTATCCTGTGACCTAAAAGGTTGAAAATATTCTATCACAGTGCAGCTGAATGCTCCGGCCCTTTCCTTTTTAAGCAAAGGTCTTCTGATCATTCTTGCTTTTCTAATTTGTAAACTACACACAACCACAACTTTTCCCTAAATATTTTCATAACATTATATCTTTCCTGCATTAACTCAGTCAATAGCAAAAGTTATATAAAACAGTACCGCCATTCATTCTTATACCCTTCTCTTTTTTTTTTTTTTTCCAAACAGATGTGTTTTCTGAAATACAGCAAGGATTTTGATTACATATGTAGCTAGGTGTTCAGTTTCACAGACATTCTCCAAGACCAGCATACTTTGCCAGCCTTTAAAAAACTCTCTCTTCTCCCACTCTGTTCTGCTATGCTTACCAGCCTAACAGGGTAGCCACTATCTATCTACGCTGCAACAAAACAAATGTGGAAAGCAAAATTGGGCAACACATAATAGGCAGTCATCTGCTTTTGAAAAAGTCCCACAGAAACTTTTAACACTCAACAGAATAAAATAAGCCTTAATTTTTAAGATTCCACAGGGGGGAAAAAAACAGGATTTTCTTTTTCCAATTAAAATAAAAACACCTACTACCAGTGAATCTAAAAAGGAAACGAAACCATCATTGGGATCATTCTGCTTGGAGACCCTCAGCATTTCTTAGTCAGACCTTCTCAATTCCCTCCAGAAACACCCCCACTGGAATACCTGAGGGAGCTGTTATTCAACTCTAGTATGGCTGGCGGAGCCTGTCCTTATTAACACATGGTGAGATTCATCTAACCTAGCTTTAGACATCAAAAGGTTAGACATTTAATTCTGAGTTTGTCACTGTAGGCTTTTCTACAGTCAGTGGAGAGAAACAGGCATCTCCAGGGGGCAAGTCGTCTGACCTGCCTATTTTAAGCTGAGATGAATCACTCTCTGAAGGTGCCCATTTTCCTGCAATTGACTGTAAAGTAAATCTAGGGTGTCTTACCCAGACTTCGATATTTACATTTCTGGTATCTTGAAGATGACATCTGAATTTCACCAACAATTTTCAGCACTCAAACTCTGCATCTCCGACAAATTAGCAGTGCTAAGTATCTGTTCCTTGAAACTGAAATTTTCACACCAAACTCCCTGATTATATTTCAGTTGACTTTCACAATCCTGTCCCTTATAAAAACACTGCCTTTCATTAAATTAGTTGTAGTTTCAAGCCAATAACTGACACAATAAAAAAATTAAAAGGCAAAAATTAGTTTGATTCTGCTACAGTAATAATGCTCTGGTTTCTTCCATCCTATTCAGAGCTGACTTCCACAACATAACTTTTCTGAATTACTTGAAGCACTTTCAGAATAAATACTTTTGTTATTATAAACCAAAATGCAATAAGCATCTTTCAGCAGTAACTACATTTTTCTGCCCAACAGTCTGACATGAAATTTCAATTTTTAGTTTTAAGCCTTCATAAATTCAAAGCAACATACAAATTAAGTACAGCATACCACCAGAAGAGAGAGAATTTGTTCTGTACATCTCCCTTTTATAACAGAGGTCTTCCAGCTATGCATTTTTCCCATGGGATAAACTAATGTTACAAATTCAGAAAGGTCCTTTCAATTATTATTTTTGGACAGATGATCCATTAGAGCAATACTCACCATTAGCACTGTACTCATGGATATACTCTATACCTTAAGGCTAAATGAGCCTTCAGATAGAATCTAATCCATGATCCATCAGCATTTAACTTAAATGACAGTCCTATATGTTTTTCCTTTAATGACAAATTCTTACCATATGTCTTCTTCCACAGATGTATTCCCATCTCTCTCTCACCAGATCTCAAACAGCAACATTGTTTCTGCAATACATAAACATAAAATGTCCCTTTAAGCACTATGTTACCACCTTGTTTATTTAACATGTTTTAGAAGTTTTTCTTGTTTTTTAAAAAAAAGTTGTAGCTAATAAAATAAATGTTACAATAGCTGTTAAAATTATATAAATGAAAAACAAAAGAAAAACGAAGATTAAATACTCTATTTACTACTAATGAGAGCTCCTTCATAATCTTGTTCACTTTTGATATACCATAACTATTATCATTAAATAAAAGAAAATAAGTTTTGGACATGACCAGCTAAAACAATCAAAAAGTTAATCAGTTTCATTCAAGTCTATCCATTTATTTCAGTCTGCCTAACCTACAATATTGTTCTATACTGTGTTGCTACAGTGCAATCTATTTGCCCCAAAATGCGCCTACAGCAGTCAGTCAAGTTATTAGGTACCTGATTACTGATCTCCTCGCAGTTACCCTGTGGCAGATTCTCCTCTCCCGCTCACATAAAGGCAGAATCCAGACCCCAGCGTATAAAAAGCTGTGAGTAATGCTAGCTCTAGATGTCTAACTGAAATTGGAGTTGTCACCTACCAATTCCTACTCACGTCCTGAATTTTAGCACATTTTAAACACTGTTGTGCTTAACTACCTGCAATCAGACGCTACACTTAAAAGTACTTTTAGGGAAGCACTCCGCAATTTTTTTGCCATGATTCATAACAACAGTCCCACAAAGGAATGTAGTTAGAGCATAGGCTTAGCTGAAAGCTCATGCCTGATCTCACCTGGGAATGGCATAGTGTTTTTCCTCAACAAATACAGCAAATACTCTACAGACAGATCTAAAATATAAATCACTAACAATTTATTTTTGAAGTAAATGTTTTATTTACCTGGCTGCATAGTTATTATGGGGAATCATTACCACTACATGCTGAAGCTACGATACCGGACAGAACAAAAATCAACTCTTCATTTACCTGGACAGTGAAATCATCCCGTTACATAGAAGGCAGCACACTGTCAAGCACCGTTCCACAGCGCAGCTTTCAAAGCAGTCAGAAACCTCCCTGAGGAGCAGGTACAGCAATATCTAATTGTCAAGGTGGTACCTGAACTAACTCTGAGCATCAGGTTCTGGCCAGTCTCAAAAGCAGTTAGGCACTGTATCACCTATTTAGCGGATCCTGTATAATAATCTCTGTGGTCCTTAACAGACCTACCAGACAAATTCAACATACACAAAACTTCAGATAACCAAACCTGTAAGGGCTTCTGTTCACATCAGAGCAAGGTCTGAAGAACCCATGCCTGAAGTCTTAAAATGGTGTGAGCATTCATAGCTCTTTAAAAAACACGTCAACAGAAAGTTTGATTCCTCACCGTATCTTAAAGAGTCATCCCAATTTGGAGATCCCAAGTCTGAAAGAAACAACAAGAACAGAGGCAAAAGCACACAGCTTTTCCCCAGCAAGGATCCTATAGACTATGCCTTCCAGTGGTCAGCACAAGCAGACAGGTAACAGTTACTAGGTTGTAACTGTACAGCCCACAATAAGCTATAATAGAACGGAAGCGTACACTGCTTAAGACTGCTTAATTAAAAGTTAACAACTGAACTTGACAAAATTGCTCCTTTGTCTGAAGGGGTCTCATTCCTACACATTCCCAAATCCCTCAGCTCTGTTCTGTCTCTTGAAGAAGGTGTTATATTCTCTGAGCATTAATGCACCATCAAATATTTTTCTTAAGAAAAGCAGTGACTACTTTGTTCATAGCTTTATTTTTATAGATGAGTTTAGGTTTGATTCCCCTTCACACTCTCAATACAATAGTAGTTAATGGCCTACAAATTTCAATTAGAAACTCCACAAAAGTTTTGTGTTTGTATCATATACAGGGAAAAAAAAAAAATAAAGACTATGTTTCTGGAGGATGGGGGCAAGATGAAAAAATTGCTTTTCAAATGCAATGAAAATAATAACATTTATGTCATTATGCGTAAACCTTTCACAGCAGGACAAGTTTTTATTATGAAGATATAAAGTCCTCAAAGTAGATTTATAGGTGCCATGGTGACACTATTTAGAAATCCTTAATGAGTGTTCATAGAGCACAACACAAAGGCATTGAATGAGTCCACAAAATTAATCGCAGGCATTCAGAAATGTTTACCTACATGCTACTGGTTTGGTTAAAGTCAATCAAATTTTAGGAGCAGGTACCTAGTTTTTAATATATCCCTTTAAAGATCTTTGTTTTTACTAAGGAGAGAAAACAAGGAGGCAGTATCTGCCCAGGTATATATGTCATATAAATCATACTACTTGGAACCCTGGCTCTCATAATAAAATAAAATGCCTTGATATAAATTTAATAGTGACTCAGATAAAATACTTTTTCTGATGGGTATTGGGAGGTTCTGGCACAAACAAGCTAACGGTCTCTCTTAAATTTATAAAAGAAGGTCAAAAGCAATTTGTCCCCAGTCTTCACCTGCTCTCCCAGTCCAAACAGCTTTCATGTTGGCAATACCTCAACAGAAGTAAAGATGTGAAATAAGATTTGGCCACACTGAGATCAACAAAGAAGTTTCCACTGAACTTGCTGGAGACAGGATTTCACTTGTGGAGAGTAAAATATCATCTTAAATCAAAGTTTGGTCCCCCCTGTTCAAGTCTGAGATCAAGCATGTCTATAAAGTGATACCTGCAGGATATCTGGAACTGACATGTTCCATGCTATGATTTTCCTGTGAGTGCTCTGGAAAGCAAGGTGTCTGGTTTAGGTTGTTTGCAATCTAAAATTAAGATCTGCAAAAAATTTGTGACTGAACTGTGCTATTAAAAAAAAAAAAGGCACCTCTCAAAGGAGTAAATATTGCACTTGGTGGGTGGAAGCTGTTCCCAAACAAAGATGACCAGACCAGCTATGTTGTTCTGCTGCCTAGAGCTCATAAGAACCCTCCATTATAAAATGTTTCTATGTGTATCACTGAATAATTTTCAGCCCTATGAAATGTTATTAGAGTAAGACTTCCACTTAATATGAATATATGCAAAATACAACAAGTTTTCATGCAAAATATATTCACTTATATTGCTTAGGAGAATGACAATATATTATTCTGGACTAGCAAGCCTAGAATTCTGCTCCACAGAGTATACGAAACACTTAACAGCAGAGAAAGAAAACACACATAGACTTCATACATCACCAGTGTTAATTACGCAGTGTTGCACAAGAAGGTAAAAAAAAAAAACAAAAAACTTTCTGTCCCTTAAGATTTCAATTTGCTTTCTTAAGCATTATTTCGCCCTATTTTTCAGCTGCACAACTAGAAAAAATTTTACAATGTTTTCACGTATGTTCAACAAAAACACAAAAATATAAAATCCCTATAACTGAACGATAACTTAGGTTGATGTTTACCGAATAATACTTGGAATAGACTGCAAACAGGAAATATATGAAGTATGTTTATTTAAAACTATTTCAAGAAAACACTATATTCTGCAGCTGTTGAATTAAAGTGGACAAGAGACTGACAGTTTTCTCTGTCAATATGTAATTCTAACATCTAGGTAGAAGATAACTGTGATAGCTGCTTCCCTCTTTCTTAATAAGCAAACCCAGCAACTTCAGGACCTGACCAAACAGGCACCAGTGACTATCAGCAGATGAAAGAAATGGCCATAGCCTTTTTCAAAGATCGGTTGTTAACCTGCTTCAATGACTTTCCAGGCAGCCTACCTGGTTTGTTTGCAGCTTTAATACACTAGTGGCTACTTATGCAAAAAAGGCGAAAACTAATTAAATTTGTTTATGTATGTTATCGTGTGGAGCACTCATTTCCAGACATCAAGCTATGAATCATTAAATAACTGCTAAATTGGTCTCCTGGGATAGATCATGCCTCAGAGTTGGGCAGGCCCCCATCCCACCAAAGCCAGGTGTGCTCTGCAGCGAGCAGGCATTAAAACTGCTTTAAAGGCCATGATTTGGGTACGCAGCCAGGTCTCACACTGTGAGGTGAGTGGTAGGAAATCATGAAAACAGTGACAGCCCTCCTGTCAGAGTTACTCCTCTGTTTGATTAATGAGGGCATTTGAAAGACAATTAGCCAGAGCAGGTTTGGCTGCAACTAGCTTATCAATCAGGCACCCTCTATTCAAAGCACCAGTGCCTTCTTTTGTTTTTTGTTGAAAAAGAATTGTATCAGTGATACACAAACAACAACAGACCTTTGCATGTTCTTTAAAAAGAGGAGAGCAGAATGTAGCAAATCACAACTGAAATAGTAAAAAAATGTTTTGTAAGCCATAAACCACTGGTTACTGGCAAATCATCACTGCAACTTTCACATCACTGGATTTTTAGCTTGAGCATGGTGAATTCAAGGCTGCACGACTACATCAAACACTTCCCAGTTTCACAAGGGCAACTTTGAGCTAAGTTTTCAACAACAACAAAACCCAGCTACAAATGATCACATCTATAACAACAACAAAAAAATAATTCCTTAATTGGAAAGCCTACTGTGAACCCTACTCTCTGAGCTTCAACATGTTTCAAATATTACCCATTTCAATTTTTAAAAAATTAATTTGTTGCAATAATTCATCAGTTTTATTTATCCACTAGTAATGTAGCCTTATTCTTTTCCAACTACCAGTGTAGGTAGAATTTAATATAATTCTGACTTTTCTTAGCTGCTCACCCAGGAGCATGTTTCATGTTTTGGTTTAACTGAGAGCTTTGCTTCAACTGGGATAGTCCTTGGCCCCATGTAAGTAATCAGAAATACGCAATGGACTATTTAAACCATGTCAGTACTTCTAATGAAGATCTGCATTTCTACCAGGCCAGTTTTTAATCAAACTATTTTTTATCAAACTACTTTAAGAAAACTATGATTTTTGCCTGTGAATAAAAACCAAATTACTGACTAAGGTATTTAAATTACTGGGCCACTAGATCTGAATAAATCCAAGACTGAAAGAGTAGGATTGAGGCTG